TACCGAACCGAAAGCACTGTATCGAACGGTTCAATATCGATACGAATATTGTTGCACCCCTAATGTTTACCCATCAGTAAAGGGAGGACCATGCTTAACCTTAACACACAATAGCTGCATGGACACTGATGCAACATTATGCAATGAAATGTTATACAGTCCTATGAAAAACAAAGCACACTCTTAAGGCTTCAATAGAAATTAAGTAGGTAAGTAGCAACCAGGTGCTGCTAATCACTTGATTGTGTGAGCACCTCCATAAAGCAGATGTTTTGTCAATTTGCTGGTCTAGAACTCCAAAGAACAACTAAGAGCTACATCTGAAATTCTACGGGCCTCAGTTAGCATTGTAAATGTTAATGATAGAAACAGTGCAATTAGAAAAAAGACTGAACATATACGGCTTATTTGGAAGGGCTGCCAGAAGAAAACATCTTCTTTCCAAATAGGACATAGCAGCTGGGCTTTATAATAATTTGTCGCCACAAAATAGAGAAGAGCACTTGATACATGTCCCGTTGAAGAGTTAAATGTCCCAGCCAGTTATGTTATATTATGAAAAATAGAACATTTACAATTTTTTGTCTTCTTAAGAAGGCTGAGATATGCTAAACTATACAAGAACTGGACAGAAAAAAGGGCATTGGTGACAAATCCTAACTTTTAATTTTTGGTTCAAATTCTCATCAGTAGTCAATCAATAGTTTGAAACACACCATCAATGAGAAAGATATCCAGATAGAAAAACATGCAATGGAAGGCTATCAGTAATGGATTTGGCCTCCCAAGAGACTGGACCTCAACATTATTGAAGTAGTATGGTATCATCTTGACAGAGAACAGAACAAAAGGCAGGCAGCATCCAAAATACAGCTCTGCATGCCCTTTAAAGGCAATTCAATTCCAGACTAAAACAAAGTGGACAGTTTAGAGTAATATAAAACTAGTGGTGTCTTTGATGTAACACCAAAGTGAGAAAGCCAAGTCATAAATGCTATAACTGAAATTCTCAAGATTAAAAACAGTCCACTGTAGTAGTAATTTGCTAGTTAGGCTGAAAGTCTCTCTGAAAGCCCCCTAAATGAATTTGTAGGAAAGCAGAGCTTACTGCTAATCAAGTCTAAATAAACAAAAATGGTGTGACAGTGCCTCAACAGGGAATCAATTCTGCTAGGAATTCTAACATAAGAAGTCTTCCTGCTATGTCACTCATTTAATTTGTGTAGAAAGTAAAATTAATTCTTAATTCTATTGAATGAAAAAGCTTTTTATAGTGCCCATTAGAAATTTCGCAGCTACTGCCACTTTGATGTAGAGGTTCGTGAGACTAAAATAGTTGTCTGTTAGCATATGTCTGTTAGGCTTTAATTAAATTTGGGGGCAAAACATTTATAGCCTCTACAGCAAAAACAATAACTTGGCCTCTCTTTATACCTGTTTGTGTGTCTAATTTAAGATCATTGGATTAAGTTGGAATCTCAGATGCTCAAAGTCTGTGCTTGAAGCACCCCTGTAAATGGGTTAATGTAACCTAAAATTAATTACTCCGGCATTAGGTTTACAAAGTGTCTGTGTCAGAAGTAAGTGGGTATATTCACAAGTCATTCACATCATATGTCACACAAATCCTATGTTACATAAACCATATCAATAACCAGTGGGACTTGATTTCTATTTTCAGCCTGATTAAGATGGATTTTGGTATGACGGTAGATTTCGGGAAGAGCCTTCATCCCACATAAAAAGAGGAATCATCAGATTTTTCTGGGCTTAACAATACTTAAGGCTCCCAAACTAGGAGATAGTTGAGAACTGCATCAAGTTTCTAGTAACCAAAATTGAGCCACACAGCAAGAAGGTCCTGGATTTGAATATACCATCTGGCGTTTCTTGTGGAGTTTGCATGTTCTCTCTGCTACTTTGCATAGTTTCTCTCTGGGTACTCTGCCTTCCACCCACAGTCCAAAGACATGCAGTTTGTAGAGCTACATTAATTGGTGATTCTAAATTGCCCATAGGTATGAATGTGAGTGTGAATGGTTGTCTTTCTCTCTGTTTTAGACCTACGACAGACTGGCGTCATACCCGTTGTGTATTCTGGATGGATCTCAGAAAATGCTGTATTCAACTAAAAGACACTGTCAACACTTACTTTTTCCTCTTCTCAGAGTGGATTGTAAAATCCTCTGTGGTGGCCTTTGTGTTTTAATTGCTGAGAAATCCAGCACAAACCTGTATCTTACAGAACAGTTTGTTGATTTTATCATTATTGTCTCATTATCGTTATTGTTTTCTGTTCTAGTCTCTTTTCTGTACACTTTTCTGCAAATTGAAAGAAAAAACAGGTTTAGGTACAATCCAAGAATCTCTTTCCACACCAATAAGTCATTTGACAGGACTGAAAGGCCTTGCATCTCTCCCTCTTACTCCACTCATCACAGCTGGCCTGAAGTGTCCTGAATCATAGTGGGTCATGGCTCCAGGCCCACTGTGCAGCCTAAAACATTTGAATTTACTTGTTTGTGATTGCATAGAGGTAGCTTCACTGATACATAACATCTCTATGGAAAATGTTCTGCTTTATTTAAGACACCTTGAGGACTCTATTATTGGGACAGTTGGTCCTTTGGTGAAATTCCAGTTTACGAGATTAATTACTCTAAGTCTGAGGCAACGCCCTCGACCTAATGTATCCCGGACTTCAACCTGCTCTGATCCATTTAGCTAGTCCCTGTCACTTTTTACTTCCCCAGGTATACAAATTACCCTCTCCTTCTTTGACCTGCACAAAGCTAATTTCATGCTGCTAAACCACAAGATTAGGAAAGACCTTGCTTACTGGACAGAGTTGGTGCTGTCTGTCTTGAAGAGTGAACCTCTTTAAGATAAACATGCCTCTGTGGTTTTGTACCCCTTTGAAAT